AAAAAAAAAGCCGCAGGGAGCAGCGAGCCAACGAAAGAAACCCGCTTCATTCATAAAGTCACCCACATTCATAAAAACGAGGTGCGGCGCCAGGCGCTACCACCCGCTTCCAATCCACCCCCAACATCTCTTCTAGGCACCCCTCCTCGACCAGGAGTTCGGTTCCCCCCCCAAATGAGTTTTCTCCACCCTCTGAAAATGCGGCCAGAACCGCGAGGCTCCAGCATCTTTCGGTGCGACCCCCTCCACACCCGTGTTATCCCCATCATCCCCAGGCCGCTGTTCCGGTGCGCCCCGATTCTTCTCGAGAGTCGCCGCGCAGCCCGAAGCCCTCAGCCTGCTGGGGTGGGAGCAGGGCGACTGGACGTCCACTTTCCACCACCTGAAACTTGCAAGGCCTGCGTAAGTTCCTGGTCGACCCCCGACCCCGCAGGCTGCACTTGCCTGTGTCATTTACCCCCTCCCGGTGCTCTGGGGGGCAGCGCCTCTCAGACGTGCCCCTCGAACTGCTTCCCGCCCCCTCCTCCCAACTGCGGAGCTCCGCCGAGCGTCTCTTCTCGCGAGCCTCCAAGTCCCCTCGGGGCTCTCGAATCTCCAGAGACGGCGAGAGCCTCGCAACTCCGCGATCCCCCATCCACCCGGGAGCCCCCGCACTCGCGCTCCGGGGCGCCTCCCCCACGACGTGCGGAAAGCCGCTCGCCCCGCGCTCCGGAACCGTTAGCCGTACCCGCCCGACGCCTCACAGGAACCAAACAGGACCGGGCCTCGGGGGGAGGGGGCGGTCAACTCGGGGGTGCCCACCGCAGGTACTGCACCCCGACTTTGAGGATTCTGAATCAGCCCGTGGACTCTTGCCGGCTGGGCCTTTTGGACCCGTGGCCGGACGCCCCTTCCGACTTCCCCCCTTCCCCCGCAGAGCCCACTCACCTGAGGCGGCCGCTCTCCTCCCCTTGCAGCGGCCCCGGCGGCGCAGGCGCGCTCACGCACGCGCGCACCGGGCCTGGGCTCCTGGGCGAAAGGCTGGGCCGAACCGCTCCGAAGACGGTGAACCGCTCCGCGCACCAGCGGCTGGACTCTGCGCGGCAGCTGCCAACCAGGCTGGAGCGCTGGCCCGGCCCCCCGCGGTCCGCTGCTCCGCCCGCCGCCATTGGCCCGCGGCCCTAGCCCAGCCTCGTTCCCATTGGCCCGAGGCCGTTCCCGCGGCTGTCCATCACCTCTTGTTTACCCTGACTGCGGGCAAATCCAGCCCAGCCGCCCCATCAACTCCGGCCCCCATTGGCCAACGGTGCATCTCTCTCCACCCCCTCAGGCGTCTGCTTTACATAATTTATGCACCGGGGGCCATTGGCCAATCAGCATAGGCTTGTTTATATAATGAATGTAAGGACGTTTTTCATTCATAAAAAACGCGACCTGAGGGGGAAGCTTAGCTGAGTCAGTGAAGCACTTAAAGGGGCCGAGGCCGGGAGGAGCCGCTGTTACTTCCCTTCTCGCCTCTCTCCCGACTTTTCCCCGAGGCGTGACTCTTTCCCCTTTCCCACTCACCCCTACTTCTCCATCCAGCGAAGCCCGGACCGGGATTGGGTCCCTTGGCGCCAGACGTTCGCAGCTGCAGCACCAAGCAAAGTTACCATTTTAGAATTCAGGGGAGAGGAATTCGTCATTCCACACAGAGAGACTCGCTGACCGACCTGGGCGTTTAGCCCACGGAAACACAGAAAACGGAAACCGAGCCCTCTAATCTTAGTTACCTTTGAGAGGCCTTAATTTCTTTTAACCAGGTTTCCAGTGGGAAGAATAAGCAGCCTCTCCTTTTAAAATCTCAGCTCTCAAACAGATTTTAGTTACTGTTTTGTACTGGCGAGGCCTAGGGCCCGACCAAATCCCGTCTTCTCTTTAACTGCGCCTCGTAACCTCCGCCAGGGTGGGTTCGGCAGTCGCGGGGAGACAGGGTTCGGGCTCAAAGAAATCCTCTCCGGGGACAGCCGCAGCCAGTCCACCGACCCGGAAACCTGAATCCCTGCGAAACCGACTTGCGGAGTTAGACCGCTTGCCTCCCTCCCCGGGCTGCTTGTTTTCCATTTAAGTGTTGAATGCAAGATGGTGTATTTGCGAATTAGATCCCGTGCAGCTGGGAACGAGAAGCGGCTCTGCTTGCCAAACGATAGGGCACTAACTGCAATTGCTGAGATTCTTAACAGGGTGTTCCGGGAAACAAATAAACAAACAATCCTCTCCCCTCTCCGCCCCCTCTACCCCCTCCTGTGAAGACCGCGGGGCGGTTCTATCTTCTCTCCGGGATGCTGGGGGCCTGTGCGGGAGCTCTGTTCTCGTCCTGCTGGAGTGCCCTGCCATTCACGCCGCGTGCCAGCGGTGGGGAGGAAAGATGCCAAGTGTTAGGAGAGAACCCCTAGCGATGGGGGTCCCAGGGTGGCTAACCTTGGGGCAGTTCCTGCGCCCGCCACCCCCACCTTGTGGGGAATGCAGTGTGGATTTTTAGAAAAAAAAAATAATAATAAGTTAAAGGTTGCCTACCTTCTTTCCTATCTGCACTCGTGTCTGTCGTGTACAGCCCTTGAAATGTTGATGTGCACCTGAGCAACCTGCAGCCCCCGTGTGCAGTCCTGGCTCAGCACTGACCAGGCACACTCAAGCTATTGGCTTTGAAAGACTGAAAGGGGCAGGACTTGAGGAGTGGAAAGTGCTCTGAACATTTAACAGGCAGTTCCTTGAGATCTACTTTACTGGTGGAACGTTTTGCTTCCGACTTCAGTTTTCCCTTAGTGCCTTTTCTCTTTCCCCAGGTGGTACCATTTCTGTTTGGTGGCTGGAGATTTTACACTGGTACAGTTGTGCTCTGGGCTTATTGCTGATGTTCCTGACAGCTTTATCTCCCTAGCTCCATGCAGGGTGCAGGTAAGCTCCCAGATCCTCCTCCTCCCCAGCTTCGCCTACCCCCATTCCCACTCCCACTCCTCCTCTATCCCATCCCATGTCATCCTGCTCTCTAAACTCATTTTTCTAAAAGGGCTTTCTTACTCCTCCACCCTTAAGTCTCTCAGGCTCCCACCCTCCGGAAAGCTTACAGCCCACAGAGTCGCATATCCTCACCATATAAACCGTCGCACATCAATCACACTTTGTAACTTTGGCTACAGGCAAACAGTGCAGCACACTTCACAGCAACTTCCTCCACAAGGTTGGACTTGATGCCTGGAGTTTGGCTCTTGTGACCTTTGCCTCAAGCCAAGGCTGTCCATTCCACCTTGGAAAGAGAAGTTGGATATTTCTGGGTTGAGTAGTCACAAATAGTGGCTCAGTTGGGATCAGGGGAGGATTGGGTGATAGGTTTTTTTCAAAATAAAGTTATCTTGAACACATGATCATACGTAGGGATTTACACCAGAATAGAGTAATTGCCAATTAATTATTTAGATTATTTAGTCACCCAGTAAACATTTTTTTTTTTTTTTTTGAGACAGAGTCCCGCTCTGTTGCCCAGGCTGGAGTGCAGTGGTGCAGTCTCAGCTCACTACAACCTCCACCTCCCAGGTTCAAGTGATTCTCCTGCTTCAGCCTCCAGAGTAGCTGGGATTATAGGTGCCCGCCACCATGCCCAGCTAATTTTTGTACTTTTTAGTAGAGACAGGCTGGTCTCGAACTCCTGACCTCGTGATCAGCCTGCCTCAGATGCCCAAAGTGCTGGGATTACAAATGTGAGCCTCCTCGCCCAGCAGTAAACATTTATTTTGTACCAAATATTCAGCCAGACCTTGTGCTAGGCAAAAAAGTTGCAGAGGTGAATAGGACCCAGTCTTTGCCTTGGAGGAGCCCAGTCTGTGTAAGTTTAGTAGCTGGGTTTACTTAGCACTTTATAAATGACTTGTTCATGTCTATACAATTCTTCACAGATTATCTCATTTAATCCTCATAGTAATAGTACCAAAGTGGTCAGATTATTTATATCTCCATTCTGTAATACACAGTTGAGAAACTGAGGCACAGAGAGATTAAGTAATTTGCCAGTGGTCACAGAGGTTGAAAGTCGGTTACACTTTGGGAGACCGAGGCGAGTGGATCAGGATGTCAAGAGTTTGAGACCAACCTGGCCAACATGGTGAAATCCCGTCTCTACTAAAAATACAAAAATTAGCCAAGCATGGTGGCAGGGCACCTGTAATCCGAACTACTTGGGAGGCTGAGACAGGAGAATCGCTTGAATCTGGGAGGCAGAGGTTGCAGTGAGCTGAGATCACACCACTGCACTCTAGCCTGGGCGACAGAGCAAGACTCTGTCAAAAAAAAAAAAAAAAAAAAAAAGAAAGAAAGAGAGAGAGAGAGAAAGAAAGAAAGAAAGAGTAGGTTGCTGAACCTGGATAGGAACCAAGGTGGTCACATGGTCTATAGAGCTCATATATGGGAGACCTAGTATGTGCCTCTCTTGTTCAGCGACCACCAGGATATATCATTTGAACACAGTGGTAAAGGACAGAGCTGGTCAAAGTCAGGGAGGCAGACTGTAGCTCTGAACAGGGTTAGGAAGGACTTTGGGATATTTGAAGTGGTCCGACAAAGGAAGACTATCTGGCCATGAGTCTTCCATCACGGAAGGCATTTATGCGGAAAGATTTAGGGATAGCGTAGAGGAACTAACACATTTTCCAGGATAGATGAAATCTGAGGATTGTTCCATCTCTCAGAGTCTCTGATTCTGGGAATTTGGAGCTTTGTGCTGCAAGTGGAGTGGGGAGTGACATCTCTGGGCACAGCGATCTTGGCTGTAACTTTAAAAGTCAGGGTACAGCCTGTGATGACCTGGGCCAGCTCCTGGGCCCAGGGCTCCTCATTGTTAAATGTTTACTGATGTCTTCTCTCCATTCTTTTTTTTGAGATGGAGTCTGGCTCTGTTGCCCAGACTGGACTATAGCGACACGATCTCGGCTCACTGCAACCTCCGCCTCTCTGGTTCAAGCGATTCCCCAGCCTCAACTTCCTGAGTAGCTGGGATTACAGGCGTGGATTAACTGCCATCTTGCCCAGTTAATTTTTGTATTTTTAGTAGAGATGAGGTTTCACCATATTGGCCAGGCTGGTCTCAAACTCCTGGCCTCAAGTGATCTGCCCACCTCAGCCTCCCAAAGTGCTGGGATTACAGGTGTGAGCCACTGGGCTCGGCCTGTCTCCACTCTTCTTCCTTCTTCTCTTTGCTTCTCTCATGATTTATCTCCCCAGCTCCTCTTCTTCTCTTGTTATCTTTGCCTTTAAAAGAGTTAAGGGTAGTATTTAGAAGTTCTTTGTGTAGGCACAGGCTCGGTGGCTCACGCCTGTAATCCTAGCACTTTTGGAGGATGAGGTGGGTGGATCACCTGAGATCAGGATTTTGCGACCAGCCTGACCAACATGGAGAAACGCTGTCTCTACTAAAAATACAAAATTTAGCTGGACGTGGTGGCAGGCACCTGTAATCCCAGCTACTTGGGAGGCTGAGGCAGGAGAATCGCTTGAACCGCGGAGGGAGAGGTTGCAGTGAGCCGAGAGCATGCCATTGCACTCCAGCCTGGGCAACAAGAGCGAAACTCTCCACCTCATCACACACACACACACACACACACACACACACACACACACACACACACACACACACACACTTCTTTGTCT